GGGGGGGGGGGGGAGAGGGCGGCTGCCATGGGTGCGGAGCCCAAGATCACTCGTGAGGTGCATCGCGAGACTGATCGTTGATTGTTGCAACGATTCGGAGCGTTTGGCGGGTTGATGTGCGTTCGTTCCCGCTGAGGGGCTACGGACGGTAGTGTGCAGAGGGGGCGAGCGGGGGGGCGTACTCTTATGTTTTGCATGCCTTAGCGGCTACATAGACCCTTGACCAAAGGCGGGGCAGCGGGGGGGGGGGATACTCATAGTCGTGCATACCGTGGTCGTTAGACCATTGACCTCGCATCCCTACAAAGCCGGGACGGAGCACGCCGGGTTCTCACCGGACCAGGCTCTCACATCACCAAGCGCGAAGCGCCGTGAGATATTCGGCGAGTCGCATGAAGGGTGCGCTGCATCCTGCTAAGGGTGTTCGGCATCTTATGCTTACTTCCTTGCGTACGGATGACAGCTGCGTATGAATTAATTTATTTTCTGGTGCTTTCACTTCCAGAGACAGTTGTAAGCACTGTGTAACTGCCTCGAGGGTGCTTGACCATTTTAACACAACGTGGTGCGATCATCCCCCTTGCGCGGAGCGAGGGTTCTCCACCCCGCACAACATGATCTACTCGACCACCATTATGGTTACCGCCAAAAAAAAACCGGAGGTAAGAAAAAAAAAGTTAACCTGGTTGCCCGAGTTCACGAAGTGAATTGGCTTGTTTTACAACGTCTTTGCCAAGCGACGAAAACCCAACCCCGATGGCAAACACCTGGGGGCGGGGTGAATCGTGTGCCAGCACTGTTGCCATTTTTCTCTTCCTCTTCGACCGCTTAATCCCGCCCTTGCTGCACTCTTGTTCTTCTACAGTAGTGGCGGCAGTGTCAGCCTTCGGCAGAACAAGACCGCAATCCCTGTGCTCGTTGTGTGCATGGCAGCGTTGATGGTTGGGGGAGCTTCCGCTGACCCAAGCCCGGCAATGGCGGCGACCGCTGACGACCTCGTCATCGGTAAGCCCAACCTCGCGCGACACCCACGAAGCTTTACCTCGGTGTGTTGTGCTGTTACTTATGACCGCGATGATGATGCTTTCCAGGAGAGGAGGCTTGCAGCAGCCGCTGGGACGCCAACTGTGACGGAGACACGATGGACGAGGTTCTGTTCTGGCTGGCCTTGTGGATATGGAGAGCCTACAAACTCTACGCGGTGAGCATTCTCACGCGTGTTGTTCTGTCTGCTGGTGCACTACAGAACGTGCCCGCACTTACGAACGTCTAAACGTATCTGACACAAGATACCACCCCGCCGGGGCCGATTTTCAAAGCTCGATTTTTCCCACGGGACAAGAATTGAAGCGCCGCGAACGGCGGCCTTGAAGCCGGCTCGTCGAGAGCTTTCCGAAAACATATCGGATCGTTTCTGCATCCTCCTCGTCGTTTGAGTATTCGAGCTTTGAAAATAGGTCCAGCGGGTGTGGTCTCTTGTGTCATTCCGCCTACGGTAGCTTTGGCCGAGCCTGGGGTTCTTACCGTATTCCTAGGCTCGTGGTACGAATGGTCGCTATATATGTTTCAGTGTAGGTTTTCAACCGAGCTAAAAAAATGGTGCTCAAGTTCGTAATTTTTGAGTTTTTCGGAGGTTCAATTGCTCAACTCCTGGGTTCTCACCGAAGGCGTTCTGTACGCGTTGTTCCTCACGATCTCGTGGTGTATCTTTGTTTGCTCTTACAACATCAGTGTAAGAAGACAGGACTCGTCGCCCCAAATAAATGTTGATGCTTGCCTTTGTCGATTTTTTTTTAAGCGGCGCCATCTACGACCTCGTCATGCATTCGCCTCCGCAACTCTATCTAGTAGAAAGGGAAAATCGATCTCGCCATTTTCACGAAGAAGGTTGATGCTGCTTGCCGGTAATGTTGCCAAGGTGTCGCGCGTAGCATTTGATGTGTCGGGGAATGTTGCACGCATGTTGTTCCATCGTACCACGACGTCGTGGTGCAATGGACGTCGAAACGTTATTGTCGTCGCAGCTCTGTAGCAGCCGGGTTTGTCGCCATGAAACGAAAGTAGTGTGATGCCTTGACGTTCCGTAGCAGTGTCAGGCATGTTCGCATGTTTTGTTATTTTTTTTCAATGCCGTCCTGGCTGGTGTGGTACTCGCCTCCTCCTTCGTAACAACAGGCGTGATGTAATCTAGATTCGTTCGCGGTTGGTTGCCTTCTTCCGCGGAGCCCCCTTTTTTGACAAAAGGTATCGATTGACAATCGTCTCAGTTTTCATATCTCCGGCATGGGGAAAAAAACATGCATGCTATCGCCAAAAATATCGTGTAACGCCAACCCGGCGGAGAAATAACAACAGTAAAAAGCAGCCAGCTCTCCCCTATTCCGTCCTCCCCCGCCCACCCACGCTGCGCGCACATTGTTCTGACGGCCGACCCCGATCGTTTTCTCCAAGTGCCTGCGGACCATGTGGGCCGGGGCTGTGTGGCTGACAGGAACAGCCGTCTTTGTCGAAGCGTGGAGAAGAGCGTCGTCGTTTCTCCCTCGCAGGGGGGGGGGGCGCTTCGGGGGCAGCAGCTCGCGTGCCGCCACTTGGGTGGCCTAGGAGGGGACGGCGGCGTTGCCGTCCCTCCCATCATGCGGAACTTGGAGGAGGAGGAGGACGATGTTGAGCTCGCCGTCATCTCGCCGCGGTCGCCGGTAGCAGCGGCGGCAGCGGTGGAGCAGCATCCGCTTCCTTTGCCGCAGTGAGCGTCAGCCGGACGCCGTCACCGCTGCCGCCGCCGCCGCCGCCGCTGCCGCCGGCGACCGGCGACCACGTCCGGCGCGTCCCCGTGTCGGCGGATTGGAAAACGTGTCTATGAGTACAGGATGGGAGAGGATGGCATAGCTAGCCTTGTTGACAGGTGGAAGCGTGCCTATAGGGATGTTGTAGTACAGGATTGGCGACGATAGCACAGCTAGCCATGTTGACCGGTGGAAACGTGCCTATATGGATACATACTTGTTATTACAGAAAAAAAGGACGGACGAGGATAGCACAGCTGGCTCAGAACGAGCGTCGTGATGATGGGGTGGAAAAGTGGAAAGTCCTCGTGGGGATGCTACCACGGAGTATATAGGACAGGGATTGGCGAGGATCCATAGCTGCATGCATAGCTCCCCGCGCCGGCAACCGGAGTTGGATGTGACTTTCGAAGTGGGCCATATAAAGCGGAATAGTTTCTCGTTTTATTTCACACGAGCGTGTTGTTGCCGTGCTGAGTCTTTTGGACGCGGCGCGCTTAGTCACACCATTTCGTATCGCATGATGGGTCGTCCTCTTGGACGTGTACCTGATTTTTGTACATAGTTCGCTTTTGGTTGAGCGTTCACGTAGCAGTAATGCCGCTGTTTGGGCGAGCGGGAGAGGGCGTGTATATACCGTTGACACGACGATATATTTCGGCTTCTCGTCGTCATTTTCGTCAGTCATGGACCGTCCCGCCTTACATAGCAAATGTTAGGCGCTGTTGACCTGCCAGCTGAAGTGAGCCAGCTAACATATAATTTGCTGTCGAAGGGTGGTCGACACGGTAACAATAGTTAGTTCCTGGTGGAAGGGTAAGGTTTTTGACGACGATCAACCTCGTCTTTCGAAGTCGGGCGTGTGGTGATGTCTTGTGCATCGGGTGCGAACTTTGCAACAGCAGCTAGTCGTTCAACGAACATTATTCCGAAATGAGCGGGTATAGGTGAGTGCCCACTACACTATCAATCGTTTTGGCTATGCCAACGACATGTACCTTTCGGTGCACCAGGTGCCGTGCGGTGCTGATATGAGGGGGTGGTGGACAGACGACGACGAATTCCTCGTCGGCAACAAGTGCATGACAATTTTCATTGAGGCTTTGTCCAGAGCAGGTCAAGGCAGGCAGCAGAACTAGACTGTGTCGCGTACTGCCTCTGGCTATGTGTGCCCCCTCCCACCCCCGTGTAGCTCCCCTTCTACTCCTTGGACTTGGGAACCCGCGTCGGCAGGGTAACCGACGATTAGTCTAACCTAGAGTTAATTCTACAGTGGAAGAGTATTTTTTTTCTTCAAGAGTCGGCGCTCACAGTACTTATTATTATGCTGAAACGGGGGAGTGCAGGATGCATTTGGAGGAGGAATGTCTTGCCTACATCTACGTGGGGATGTGTGTGTTCGGGGGGCTGGTTGTACTTTCCTGAATGAATGCTGTGGGGAATTTCAGTCGTGTTTTGCCAAAGACTTTTTTGTTGTTTGTGTCGTTGTTGGCATCGTATTTCATCCCGAGCTATTTGCTAGATTAGCAGCGCCGAGGACGGTGAGGTTATATAACGAAATCTTCGTCAGGAAACGGAAGAGTTGTTTTAGAGCGAAGGGTTGCCTATCCTGACGCAGAGGACATCAGATCTTGGCTTGGCGGCAACTATTCCTTGCTTTTTGACCCTTTCGGCTAAGATTGATTGTGGAAGCACACTTGTTTCCAACGTTCGGAAATCCTTTCGTTCGTTTCGTTCACTAGCCAGCAGATGGAGAAACAAAAAAAAACATAAAACAGACGAAGAAAAATGTATTTAAGGGTCTGCATGGCCATCGTCGTTTTCCTGTGCCGCCCTACTTCAAACTAGGATAAGCATCAATCACGCCACCATGCTCCATAAAATGTTCTAATTGTCGAACACGCTGGCATGCTGCTTGTCTTTTCTTCCCATTATGTATTGGTCTGTGCGTACGCTCTCGTCGTGCGGACTAGCAAATCAGCCTAGGGGTTCAGCCCGGGACATCGGTACCCCTACGTCCCTGTAGATCGTTATTCTTTTGGCCCATCCAGTAATGTTTTCTGGGTACGTACATACTTCACGTCTTGATCGTGATCGATTACCCTTACGTCCCTGTAGATCGTTATTCAAATGGCCCATCCAGTCATGTTCTTCTGGGTATATACGTCACGTCTTGGTCGTGATCGATTCAAGCGGAGAACACCCAGGCGTGCTCTACTGAGCTGATGATCGCCAGGAATAGCGCACAGCGAGAAGGGCTTCGAGCAACATTTTTCCTTGAAGGATCCACACTATACCCAAGTCATGCGCCAGGTCCACGAACTTGCCGCAGGACCCGATGATGCAGCGTGTTCTTTCTGATTTGAACTCTGGACTGTAGTTCAAGTAGTGAATGCCCTTGTTATTTTTTTGGTCATCACTCCAACCCCTTACAACTACAATAAACGTTACTGAACAACAGTGAGCACAGAGAGGGAACACAACAGTTCTCCTGTCACATGCACTCCAACTGGTTCTCTCCTCAACACAAATAAACACATCTCGGACCTCTCTCCTTCCCCAGTATTGGCACTCGATCCTTGCCAAAACCCCTGCCGCCCGCCTCCAAACTACGCCATAATGGCCTCCTTCATGCTCTCCATCTTGCCCTATTCCGTTTACAAAAACTACCACTGTGTTTGACTACATTAACCCCCTCCGCAACCTGTGTGGATCAGCGGAGCAAACAAGCCTCCACACTTACACTACGAGAAATTTAACCTACGAATGACCCGTCACCGGCGCACGCTACTTAGGCATTCATTCTCGGAGCCATTGCCCATGCTACGACGGGCTCTGCCGCCACGAGAAAAGCGACCGACAAGTGAACCGATACCGGCGCACGCTACTTACTTACTAGTAGTGTGCATTCACGGAGCTATGTCCCATGGTAAGACGGGCTCTACTGCCGCCTCCTACCCGAGAAGCTACTATTACTACCCTACAACTATCCTCCTCACGTAGATACTTTTTCGGAGCCACGGTCCCAAAAAGACCAACCCCAGCACACCTACCCGGTTCATTGTTCAATCTCGGCAGGTGATTAAAAGTTTACTTTACTACGTGGACCGCACCACTTTTCCACCTCCCTGCCTGAGTCCCAGTCTCTTCGACCCTTTGACTCTACATTGTGCCCTGGTAGAGACCATGGTTACCTCTCTTCGATTGATTCCTCGCCTATATGTAGGTGACTGGCTTCTGTCAATCAAAAGGCTCCAGAAGAATCACACGCTGACAACAATCGGCACAAACACAAAAAACAGCTACTCTTCGCCCACACCCTGAACCCGTTCATTCGGAGAGGCTTCCTTCGCACACACACTGCTCGTCTTCAAAGAACTTTTAATCTTGTTTGCACTGCTGATGATTCACGAGGCTCCGCCCACATCTACTGCACTCATTGGTTCGCAGAGGCTTTGCCCACACACGCTGTTCGAGTTCAAACGGCCTCTAGCCTTGGTTGCACTGCTGATGATTCATGGGGCTTGCCCACACACACTGCTCGTGTTCCATGAACCCCTACCCTTGGTTTGCACCGCTGATGCACGAGGCTTCCCCCACTCACTGCACTCATTCAATAGGAGAAGCTTCGCCCATACACTGCGCGCATTCAATGGACCTCTAGGGAGCCTATTTTTTTGTCGCTGCTGCTGCTGCTGCTGCCGTTTCACCACCCGGGCGCCGAATCGACGACGGAAGCGAGCCACTGCCGCAAAAGGAGAAAACCGCCTCCACGGCGGTCGGGAATGATATGCGACAAGGACCCCCCCCCCCCCCCCCCNCGACCAAAAGTCCAAAACGAAAGCGCGTCCACGAAAGAATGAAAGCGGCAACATCCGACACCCGTCCGAGCAGCGCGCAGCGCACAAAATTTGCCAACAACAGGAACGAAACGCCGTGTGGGTCTTCGAGCGGTGAAAGAGACAGCAAGTGCTCCAGGGGAAGGAACTTCACCAAGATGACGTACGTTCACCAACACAACACAGAAACAGACAACGGCGGTGCGGCAAGGTGATGGTTCCTACCCTGCCCGGTCCACACCGTCACCCATCTCGACAAACGCTCACCATACGACAACAACCACTCTCCACAGCAGCACCGGCGGCGGCACCTCAGTTTTGTTATGAACAAGCATCGCTTGAATTGTTCCTCCCGCTTTCCCCCGTTCCCATGCGGCGCTTTCGATATCATGGCGTTCTAAAGAATCACCCCGACCCCCCGCACGCGCACACCACCACAAGCCCGGAGGTATGTCATAGGTGTGCGTGCAATCCATGCCGGCGGCCTACACCATGTCCAGCGCGTTGTCCAGGTTGGAGGCGGCGTCGCCCACGTTGGAGACAGCTTCGCCGACGGCAGAGACGGCCTCCGTCAGGTTGGACACCATGCGGTCCAAGTAGGACAGCGAGCGCAGGAGCACGGGCGGCCGACCCGCCCCCGCGGCGGCGGCGGCGGATTCGGCCGAGGAACCGGCTACCACCCCCTCCGCCGCCGCCGGTACCGCAGCAGCATCGTTGGCGGTAGTGTTAGGCACGGCCGTTGAAGTGGCTGCTGCCGATGCGGACGCTGTAGACGCCGCCGGTTCCTGAGATGCGGCCATGACAGGGGAAGCGGCGGCGACGGTGGTGGTAGCAGCAACCCAGGTGTTGGACACCGCGACCGGAGATCCCACGGCCTCCGCCTCCGCCGGCGTCGGGTGCACCACCATCACCAACGCCAGAGCAGCGCCGCCCACGTTGGAGGCGGCCTCGCCGACGACTATCGCCGTCTCCGTCAAGTTGGACACGATGCGCTCCAAGTAGGACCACGCGCGCCGGAGCACGGGCACGGGTTCGGCCAAAGAAGACGCTGCCAAAGCCGCCGCCGCCGCCTCCTCCTCCGCCGCCGGAGCGGCGGTGCCAGAGGTGGCGGCGACGGCAGCGGCGGCGGCGGCGGTGTTGGGCATGGCAGCCATCGCAGGCGTTGCGGTTACGGGCGCCGTGGACGCCGTGGACGCTGTAGATGCCGCCGCCGCGGTCGGAGGTGCGGCCATCACCGAGACGGCCGTAGCGGCGACGGCGGCGTCTGCGGTGGCGGCATCGCTGGGGATGAAGGGCGAGACCGATGCCCTCCTGCTCGTCCTCCTGCTCCACCTCGTCGTTCTCATCGTGTTAACCCACATGGCGCAGGTACCTCCGAACCAGACGGCGGAACACCAGAGCAACCGGAGCACCTGAGAAGAGAGTCACGCCGGACAGACATCATCCCGTTGAAACGCGCACGGCGGTTTGTGGTGGTGGTTGCGGGAACAGTAAGCATGGGCGTGACGGTGGCGCTGGCGGTGGCACTGGGCGATGACGGCGACGACCAGTAGACTTCGGAGGATTTTTGCAATCAAGGAAAACATGTTATGAGGATAGGATCTGCATACCCCCTACCTGTTCTACCGTATATGACACAAGATAACACACCCCCTGGATCGATTTTCGAAGCTCGATTACTCCACGACGAAGAGGATGCATAAACGAAATGATACATTTTCGAAAAGCTCTCGACGAGTCGGTTTCAACGCCGCCGTTTTCGGCGCTGTGACTGTTCCTGCAGTTGAGAAATTGAGCTTCGAAAATCGGTCAAGCTGGTGTGTTATCTTGTGTCATATACGGTATTTCAAAAAATGTCCCAACGAAGCCCTCTCTGTCTATAGAGAAGAGTCTTAAAAATAGATTAATAGCAATGAATCCATATTGTTAGCGTCAGCGAAGGCTACCGGTATTTCCACGATTTCCCGAGCAGTAGCACATGCTTTTAAGAAAGAAAATCCTTCCCGGGTGGGCAGGGGGGTGTACCCACAGTCGTGCATGCCGTAGTCGTTAGACCATTGACCTCGCATCCCTACAAAGCCGGGACGGAGCACGCCGGGTTC